AATGAGAATGGATCGATCTGTGTAGCTCCTTTACATCTCAGGCAATCATCGCTATTTGGTTAACTGGTTGAAGTTGTGGGCTCTTTAGATACTCAGATAGTCCTGTTTGATGCACACCATCAACATCACAGTCGTCCTCTCGCGCGCCATGTACTTGACTATCAGATAGCGAGCCTCCAAAGTTTGGCAATACACAGTCCCAGCGTGTAGTCCATGTTCGTAATGCCAAGATCGCTGACATGGGTACTTGGTTCCTACCCACTTGGTCGAGTATCGTTGAGATTTTCCCAAACCTATGTAAAGGCCCCCTTCCTCTAGATTCTTTGAGCCAAGATCACTTTTGGCCGACATGCAGCTTTTGTGGAGCTGTATCCAAGAACTTTTGACGCTAAACAACCATACTTCAAACTTCAACCAATCAGTATTGTTCAGATGACTATCACCGGAGAGGGAAGTTCAGAAGTGTATTTCTGTTTCTGTGTTTGTAACATTCGACACTTATGGTATGATGAGAGCATATACAATACCCACGTCGCGCAAGTGGGACTGAAAACCAGGTACGCCTTGTTCACAGTTCCCTTCGGAGAGGCGGATTACTTTGATAGACACTGAGGTATATGCCGTACCCGGCAAAAAAAATGCTTCATCCTATTTGATAGTTTACCAACCAATAGATGTCATTTGCTTGGAGTGAGTTGTGCCAGGTCGGAGTCAACGGGATTCCTACCAGAAATGAACCTGCCAAGCAACTCGTGGGGCTCGATCCGCCTGGATCCGTGCTGTTGCCTTCAGCCTATACCTGTTTTCATGGTTCCAGGGATTTCTGATAGGCCACAAACGTATGTATACCCGTGTAAAGGGCCCGATGATAACTCTTTACAGCTGATCGATTGACAAAGCAGTAGACCCAGGCCATCAGAGCACAAGCGACACCTTGCACAATTCCGACCGCATCCGAAGGCGTTTTGAAGCAAGTGAAATATGACACATGGATTTCACGCAGTTTTTTTCTGACTGTGTCTGACTAAGTATCATGCGCTTCAATCTTGAGAAGACGGGAACCTGGTAGCTCTTAGCTGGCCCTTGTCCACTTCAAGCTCATGCTGACAAACGAGTCCGTAGTATCTGTATAAGAATGCTAGGTTCATTGCTCATCGTGCATACGCATCGATATTTTGAGGATGTTGTGAGTTCAAGGATGTCTCCGTTTAGGGGAAGAGTCTAGACAACACCTGTAGAGTTCGGGAAACCGAAGTGGAGAGACATTTTGGTCCGCGGACGAGCCACAGTATGCTCCGCAGCGCCGTACAAGGCCTTGACGCTGGCACTTCCGCGAATTCATGATCAATTAAATTGCTTGTTTTGAACTCTGAATAGGTGCCATAGTCTCCCTTGCTCACCAGCAGCCACCCCCTCCGACATTCCCATAATAGCTGGTGCTACCTTTTAAATTGTCTATGTTAGTAGCTTTATCGAGTATTCTGAAGTAACAGTAGTTTTCCGTCCACTACACACCCGAAGGACGTGACAGAGGTCATTTTCATGGATGTGATACTTGCACAAGCATAGTTCGAATGTCCATCCCCTCGCCCTGCACCGCGTTGTGATCTTCACACAGCACAATCCCCAAGCTTAGGGTTGGTCCGAACTTCGGACAGCATGTCGAATTGGTGACTTCGTATGAAATGCGCCAGCTGATTGCACAAATAGTATAATTAACTTAGCGATGCCCAAGGGAGTTGTCAAGAGTAGGTGGTCAGACGCTTATCAGTTTAGGTAAGTAAATAAATATCCTCACTCGAGTCTCGTTCCATATACAGGAAAGATGGTGTATTGATCATTTCTTCCAGTAGACTCTTCTCTAGTGTTTGTGTGCTTGCCTGTACAATTTCTGGCAGACTTAGGCGGGCTCTACGTGATTTGCATGAATGACCTGCTCGAAGAGCTTCCCCTTATTGTACAGAACTTAAGAAGTCAGTGCACGGGTCCATAAGAACGCAGGCGCCATCATCTCCACCAAGATCGATGTTCAAGTAGCAAGAAAAATACGATAATTTAGCATCAACCCTTCTCGACGAATCATTTAACAGATATGAGTTCCTCGCCACCTCGATAAATATCACTGACTACGGTATGTATTGGTGGATGAATCCCACTGAGTGGTAAACCTTTTCAACCTCGGAAGTGAATCAAGAATATCGTGGAAAAAGGTAAAGTACAAATCAGGGGTGATGAAAATGGAACAAATGTAGGTTCCAACTATGCATGTGTGTCAACCCCGGGGCTGGTCTTCTAACTTTCACCAATGGTGTGCTCTATAACCACCCTGAACCTTTGCTGGAGCCCAACTGTCCTGACCACCCAACAAAACCTCTTCTATTCGCTGCATATATCACCCTTTCGATGACCCCGCAGTGTCTGTCGAACTTCCCTAAATATCCTCCCGTTTCCATCAGTCGATAATATATTTCTAGCTGTGTGCAGATCGCTAGTGCTTCTTAGTATCCTTTCATTCTTTTACGCGGTCTTCGTCGTGCAAGAACGTATCTTCCCTTAGAAAACGAACAAGAGGATCTACCTGAGTTAGAGCACCCCTCTGTTCCTTGTGCCGGTTGTGACGGCAATACCGACAGGAAGTGGCGAACTTGAGAGAGCAATCGGTGATCGATCGGCCATGGTAGTGACCGCCGCCCACGCACATGACTCTGACAGCAAGAAACTTTGCGACCGTCCGTAGTCAATTGAGCAGCTAGCGCTATGTTACTTATACGACGTCAAACCTTGACATGGATCATTCCTGATGCAAGTATGCAGATACAATGTGTTGGCATACAAACGTGCGTAGCTGCTGCAACTCGGATCACGAGACCAAAGTAGTGGCGACGCACCGCCTAAAATGCCAACAATGCTACCATGCTGGAGAAAATGGCCATGGCCTACCAGTAGGGCTCAGTGACATGATTCTGCAGGGTTGTGCTGGAGCATCAGTCGATGCTGCTACCTTTTCTCGGTAAGCGTTAAGCGTCATTGCGGGGGCACGGTCTTTTCAATATTAATGCTGTTTCTCCATATATTTCCAAAAATAATCCGGGTACGGCAATGAAAAGGGGGTCAGTACTCGCACGCTAGAGAATGTCTAGCCTATTGTTACCCTAGTATGTCCTATAGCAGAAGCGCATTTGGCCGATCAGTACGGAAGAAGTAGGCAACCCCCTAGGAATGCTCAATGGGGAACCTCGTAATGCGACGTCGCATTACGAAGTGAACGACCATTTTCCATTGTCACGATACTATAGACTCCATTTTCACGAGAGAACGTGCATGAAGATGGATCTTGACAGTGACAACATGCTGTATATAAGTGTGACCTGGTCCCCAGACAAGATGACACCACCAGCATTCATCACTTCTACTACAGTACTCACCTTAATTCTCTAATATCCAAGCCACTCCAAAACTCCTTCTTCACCACCAACATGCAGTTCTCCGCCGTCCTTCTCGCTCTCGCAGCCAGCGCTTCCGCCGCTGTCCTTCCCCGTGATGGTATGGGACAGTGGCACGTCACCATGCAGGTGGGCCCCGCCCCAAAATATGTCTACCTCCACGCCGAATTCACTTCGGATGAGTACCCTGGCGACAACAAGTTGAGGAGCACCTGTGTTGAGGCTCCCGAAGCCGAGCTTCCCGTTGTGCACAGGTGTGACCGCGCCGCTTTCGACTTCAAGTGGGATGGAAAGTGTAAGTTCAGTCTTTCACATCATGCAAAAGCAGAGCTAACATTCAACAGTGCTCAACGTTCAGCAAACTCTTCCCAGCGGTGCTACCCTCTTCGGTTCCGCCCCCTACGACGGCAGCACCAAGTTCGACAGTGTCATCCCCGTCGAGAAGGCCGTCCTCTAAATCAGATGATCACGTCGTTCCTTTGCGATTGGCAGGACGTAATTCGTGTATATATTATCATGTACATAGTTCGTCGCTATAAATACAAGTTCTACGTCCATCACAGCTCTCCAACTCATCTTCCCTACTTTCCTTTGACACCATGTACGAAAAATGTGAATGGGCTTTTGCAATATGTTCCGCCTTGTGTCAGGGAAGCTCAAACACTAAATTCGCTCTCCCATGCTTTTGTTGGTTTAGGACTAACATTTTAAGAAGTGATTCTCAACCCTGGTAGAAGTACGAGAAGTCGATACATATGTTTTCATTTTTGTTGGCGGGAGACGTGGCATGGCATTTCCTACTTAAAAACTATATTTTGATATAACATTTTATTTCGCGAGGTAGTCTGCCCCATCTGTTACTGCTACACTACAGGCCGATTCCGGTCTGCTAATTTAGTACAATTTCCCTTGAGGCTGGGCTGTTACCAGCTAGTGTTGCGAAGCGGCGGCATTACTCTTACGCACGATGAGTTTCTCAGCCGAGCGGGGGTCATATAGTAGGTATGTAAATTTGGAGATAACAGTGAAAGATTTTGGAAATGAAAACAAGTCAAGATGGATATGATATTTGTAAGCTGACATAACCAATGGAATGATGGTTTTGAGATGTTTCCGCTCACTGTCTACATATGATTATGTGCTAAAAGCCTATTAAAAAGTCTCCATAGAAAGAGAAATGCTGAGAAAGCCGCCGTAAGATATTATGTCAAGAACATCGTCTTCTGAGTGCTCGTGTTCGTGGCGGAGTACGGGGACATTGTGTAAATGTTGTGGTACTCTAGGTACTGACAATCCTACAGGCCGCACTCCAAATGCTGCTGCTAGACTACAAACTGCTCTTGGTCGTTATCAAAGACATTAGTAAAAAGTAAAACCCAGGGCTGCTTGTTCCCATATCGGCGTCGGAAGCTCGTTGTAGCTAAGGTGGAGATCAAAATAGAAAAAAAAATCGATACTAGACAGCTATTGCAAGCCCTGCGAAAGTCGGCACAATTATAGTACTATGGCATGGCAGCACACACTAAGTGAAGTATTCAATGGTTGCTCTATTGGCTTCTAGCTAACACTACTACTATATCCCAGTACCTCCACAAGTACATTAGCAACTGTACTCACAGACCACAATGTGACCAATCCCCAGCCGATGACCTTGTCCATCTTCCACTTGCGCAAAGGCACCGCAATGAGCAGGCCAAACAAAGTGATAAGTAGTGTCGCACCAGAAATAACCAATGTAGTGCTGACCGCGATGTGATAAGGCCGGAAATGTACCGACTGATCCGGGTGTTTCTCATGTCGATGTTCTCCCTTGGATATCACCATGTAGCATCCGCTCAAGCCCACGCCCAGCAGAATGTTAAGCATAGGGCCGCCGAAGCAAGCCGAAAGAGCCATGATGGGAAAACCGAGGCGCGCGACAGTAATATCCGCAACAAGGTCGCCAAGCGAGTTTCCAACAGCGAAGATGGTGAGGCCCAGGATTGCATCAGACATGTTGAGGATGACGCCCAGTGTGCGCAACACACCAACAACTTCGTTGGCAATCGTGCTAATCCATGCGATGGCGACAGCGAATCCAAGGAAACAGAGCGCCGAGCGCCAGTGGGGTGGCCGAGACGGAGATGTGGTGAGCAGAATCAGCGCCAGAATACACAGTGAAGCAATTAAGGAGTAAAGTGTATGGCGTAGTAGAGCGCGAGGGTTGTCGGGTTCCATGTTTGCCCAAAAGACCAAGACGATGAACAATGGCGCCGTGAATATCTGCACAATGACTAGCCAGCGATTCCATTGTGTCGATTCGGACAAGCCGAGTGCCGGAACCTGCTCAGGTGATTGCGCCAGTGTGTCTGTACCTGTAATGTATACTTGAGGTGTGTGACCAGCATTGGCCGAAGAGTTGCTGTTGCCTTGTGGCATGGATAAATTGGAGGGTCTGTTATCCTTAGAGTACGTAACGTTATTTGATCTATCCGGTGGCAAAGTCAGAGAAGCATTACGCGTATGTGAATCTGTACTGCCAATGTGAGTCGATGGAGATGTCGGTAAACCAAAGTCGAATGAGGGCTCGGGGTGGCTTGTCTCAGTCTCGTCCGACGGAGGTTCGACCACGGGCAATGTGATTGTAAGTAGAAACACCGGTATACTTGCTACCAATCCCAAAATCTTGTCAAAGAAGCTTTTGCTCTTCCAATTGGTCAAAGTTGGAAAGAGGGTTGCGAGAAGCACATAGGGTGCAGGCAGAAGATTGGATGGCCACCATCTAGGGGTTCTAGTTTGATCAAAAAGACCAAATGTGTTCCTGGGGAAATATCCCGACGCTGAAGATGCACTAGGAGATGGCGGGCGAAGGCTTGCAGGTCTCGAAGCTGATTGCGCCGACCAGGGATAGTCAGTGTAAGCGGGGAAGGGAATTGGCGGAGAGCTAGCATCTGGCACAACCAGCCTCAGACTTGGAGGCGATTGGCGGTCGCTGGCTTCTATGACAGGCGAGGAGAAAGGACTGGGTGACGATGTGCCTTGGCGGACCGATGCCCTGTTATCACCGCTAGGTGGCGCGAGCATGTTCGATGAAGTTGGCCTTGTTCTGGGCGTATTTGAGATTGGATCGTATGAGGATGGAGAATTTGGTGGAGACAGGGAAATAGTTGGCGATGGGGGAGCGTTCAGTAACGCGTCTTGGTCATTAGGGGTTGCCGACGCAAGTGTTATATCAGGCACGGGCTGACCTTGAAGGGTGCTAGGTTGCAACAAGATATTGTCGATGTCATTAGTTGACACTGCTCGAGTTCGATTACCCAGACCATAGTTAATGTCAAGGTTTGATCGGCTCACGTGTGCCAAGGCATCGGAGGCACTAGATTGGGCGTCAAAGGGAGGCTGTGCGGCAGCATGTGTCCCTTGTGAAATGTACTTTTGCTGCTGAGCAGTGGTGTAGGTCGGATCATCAGAGTATCGACGAAGATTGATGGGCATGGACTGAATATTTCGTGACTTTTGCAGCGAAGACAGCACAGCCCTGAATTCGAGGGCTCCCACTAGACTGGGACGAATGGGCGTGTGCGTGTTGCGACGCGAGTTGCTGGGTCGGTTGACGCGCATGTTGTTGGTCAGCTCGCCCATCCAACGTTCGCGCTCTTCTTCATTGTCGTCATCGTCGATCATGCGCTCGTCATTGCCAGCATTTTCGAGCATGGAAAAGTCATCGATGGATATGCCGTGACTTGGGGTTCTGCTGTGAGACGATGTTTCCTCGTCATGGTACTCCTGAATTTCTTCCTCTTCACCATTAGGCATGACATATTGGTTCCTCATAGTGGCAGCCCTTGCCCGTCGCGCCTTCCTCAGGTTGAGCCACCAGTGCCAACTAACAACAAAAGCGACGTAGAACAGGTAGAAGGCAACCATACTGATCGCTTCCCAGAGATGCAACTTGCCGTCGATGATGAAGCCCATGCTGAAGGCGGCGGCGACGAGGAAGAAGCCAACGTCACGGACAAAGCTCTTACGGGCGACTTGAAAGGGTCGAATGAGGGCCATGGAGCCTGAGACAACGGCAGTGATGAAGCACGCAGCGCCAATAAGTTCGCCGACAGCCAAACTTGCTGCGTGGGTGCGGAAGGCAGCAAAGGTGGAGAAGACATCGGGACTGCCATTTCCAAAGGCAAGCAAGGTTACCCCGGCAAGACTTTCGCTCATGCCCAACATGCGCGCAATAGTGTTGAGGTTGACGCAGAAGAAGTCGCTGGCTGCGATTCCAATGGTGCTGAAGAGCAGAGCAAGCCAGAGGGTCATGAGGGCGAAGGCGACTGGCTTTGCGCGAGGCAGGCGACAGTAGTAAAAAGTCAGGTACGAGATGACTCCGGCTTCTTCATCGGGGCAGTTTGCGCGCACAAAAGCGCACTGGTCGTGGGCATGGTGGACGAGGCGGCACTCTTGATCCAGGATAGTCACGTCCCTCTTGTGTAGCAAGCCAGATGACGTTGCGCCTGGACGAGCCTGTGTCTTTGCCCATGCAAGTAACGAGATGAGGGTAATGGCGAGGATAGTAAGGGCGAAGGGGCGTGCCGAGTAGCGTGGGCGCCGCCATCGCTGGACAGTTTGAAGTATGGCGTCGTGGTTCATGGTCACGACATGTTCTTTAAACGGTCGCAAAGGTGGTTCGACAGCGCGAAGAGAGGTGGCGAGTCGCAATGGATAAGGCCGCGAAATCAAGTGCTTTGGGGGGAGCGATTTGGGCGGGTGTCACAGGACGGCGGAAGACGGAGCGCGAGGCGTTTGAGCAGAAGCGGGCGCTGCTGTCGCCTGGGCTATGATAGGCGCAATAGTCGACGTGCTCAGACGAGCGGACGGAGGGCGGAAGCGGTTGCGCGATAATTGCGCGATAAGGATGCTAGAAGTGTAGAAGAAGTACAGGAAAGCAGGTTAAAGAGGAAAGAGGTGACGGCGCGGACCGACGACAAGCAGCAGGCCAACAGAGGCCCTGTCGCGGGTGTCGTCACTTGAGTGGGTTGGCCGTTGTCGTGTCGTGGCGTTGAGGCGTTGAGGCGAGTGCGTGTGGCGTTGAGGCGGATGTGTATGTGGCGGTGAAGCGGATGCGTGGCGGTGCAGATCTCTCCACTCGTCGCGTGGTAATTGTTCTTGGCGCTCTGCCCTGCGCTCGGACCCTGGCCTGGCTGTTGACAAACAAGACCACAAACACCACCACGGCTTGGACTCCCCGCCGGCACCCCCACTACAAAGGCTATCACGTCCACCCACCCAAAGCAGCCATGCCGCGCACGGCAAAGTACACGACGGCTGCCTCGCCGCAGAAGACGCCCATAAAGTAGGCCGACTCGCTCTACACACGTCGCGCCCTTGGGCCCGGCTAACTCGCATAGAGTACCCCTCAACGACGACCGCCGGGAAAAGGCCAACCGCCGCCACGCCCAGAATGAAGCCCAGCGTAACTCGCTGCGAGCATCGACTGCCACGCCCGCCAGGAAGCGCATGTCGCTTGCGGCGGGCCAGGACAGCCCCCACACACCCTCCCAGGGCCAGGATGGCATGCCCGACATAACAGGCACAGCAGTCACGCCAGGCAAGCGTGTCATGCCGCTGCTGGCCAATTTCGAAGAGTGGATGAAGATGGCCACAGACAATGTACGCCCATAACGGCACACTCGACGCAAATGCTAACATCTCCGAACAGAAAATCAATGCCAACAACTCATGGAACTTTGCACTCATCGACTACTTTCACGAGATGTCATTGCTTAAAGAAGGCGACGGCGTCAATTTCCAGAAAGCGAGTTGCACTCTGGACGGATGCGTCAAAATCTATACCAGCAGAGTCGATAGCGTCGCTACCGATACTGGTAAACTTTTGAGCGGACTCGCAGAGAATGCTAGCAGAAAACGCCGTGGCGATGCCGAAGACGGAGAAGAGGGTGATGACGATGATGGCGAAGGAGAGGACGGCGAGGATGGCCAGAAGAAGCGCAAGAAGAGGGCTGCACGTTCCGCCGAGGCTACCCTTGCATCCTCGTTTGCTCAGCTGCAGAACAAGAAAATGGAACTCGAGTTCTCTGTAGACCCACTCTTCAAGAAGGCATCTGCCGATTTTGACGAAGGAGGCGCAAAGGGTCTGCTGCTCAACCATCTAGCCATTGACGGAAAAGGCAGAATTGTCTTCGATAGCAGTGACGATGCGGGTGATGCCACCGCTGAAGATACACGTCCAAGTGCAGGTCTCGAGGATGCCCGTCAGCCGTCGCAGGAGCCACAGGATGCGCATTCGTTCGACGATATCGACATCAACATATCAGGACTGGCTGCCAAATACTTCCCTGACCTATCCCGGCTTGATGGACAAGATGTTTGCCCTTCAATGAAGACTTTCGATCTTGGAGATGTAAATGGTTCCATGGACCTTCCCTTCCTCAAGGCCCCTGATGACTGGCGCGACGATGTCAAAGACAAGGACGAAGAAGAAGATGAACCTGGTAATCGATCCGGTCTTTTCCTCGACGATGAAAACCCTATGGGTTTCGATGATGATGACGTGAACATGGGTGGTTTTGACCTACCTCCAGAGACTGGCTTTGGTGAAGGTGGTGAAGTCTGGGCTCGTGAAGCTATTCGGGATCCACAAGCTCGCGTCCATACCATGGGCATTGAAGACAATGAGGAAGCCGGAGAAGGGGGCGAGGGTGCTGTCGGTACTGACGCTCAGTACGGCGTCTCCATGGTGCATGGCCGCGACCAAGAACAAGAAAACATTCTCAGCTATTTCGACCAAGCTCTCAAGAAGAGTTGGGCAGGACCGGAACATTGGCGAATCTCGCGAGTCAAGCACATGGGCAAGGCGGCTCCGACAGTAAAGAGGAAAGAAAAGGAACCGTTCGAGATTGACTTCACTGCACCCATGTCGCAGTCGTTGGCAGACATGCTTTACACGCCTGCAACGTCGAATTCCACCATATCGCTACCTAAGGCACAATGGAAATCAAAGTCACGGAACCTGCTTCCAGACGACAAGCATTTTAACTCTCGACAACTACTGCGGCTGTTCCTCAAACCTAAAGCGCGCATGGGCCCGCGAAGGGAAGGACGACGAATGCAGCCGCCAGCCAACGAACCTGCACATGGCCATGTCGACGAAGCATACTGGGCCAACCAAGGCAACGATGTCGAAGATGGCGCACCCCAAGGAAACTATGATGCAGACTTCTTCCAAGATGATGGGTTACCAATGCCGGGCGGACCTATTGACGACGATGAAGACTTTGCAGATGCTCGAGATCATTTCTCGCCCGCCCCCGAAGCTCCAAATGCTACACAGCCCCTGGATGGTTCATTACCAAGCTCGCAAGCCGACGCATTTGGTGCGCAACTAGTGACACAGAGTCGCAGATTCCGACCAGAATACGTGCAGTATGCTCGGGTGGCGAAGAAGGTGGATGTGAAGCGGCTCAAGGATGAGTTGTGGAAGGGCATCGGGCTCGAAGGTGTAAGTACTATTCGAGATATTGATGACTTGTATATTCGGCCAGTGAACTAACGTGATAAACAGATCTCCGCGCCACCCAAGCCAGACGCTGTCGACGACCCGGCCGTCAAGGCAGTCGATGGTTCCCTGACCTTCACCAAGGTGGTCAATAGCCTGCAAGCCGTGTACCCCAAGCAAACAATGGCGGATATCTCTACGAGCTATTGCTTCATCTGCTTGCTGCATCTAGCAAACGAGCAGGGGCTGGTGATTGAGAATCAGGAGAACTTTGAAAATCTTACCATTCGAAAGGACTTTACGGCAGAGGTCTGATATGGTGTGTCAATACGAGGTAGAGAGGGACGTGTTCAAATTTACCAACGAGTCAATGATGCAATACAATGAATGATGGATTTTTTTTAACATTTACAAGATCGATTTCCAATTCCTGGTATCTGTTCGGTTCACAAAGTTTATTGCGGCTTTATGTTCGAAACAAAAAAAGCCAGCGTATTGAAGCTGTGGATATATCCCAAGATGACAGTAGCTGATCAAGGAGCAGTGACGAGCAAACACCAAGAAAACCTCAAATGACAAAGACACACACACACACACACACAAGGTACGCTGATACCAGACTGATCAAACAACAGGTTGCTATAGAATGTATTAGAATTCAACGTCAAAAAACAAACCAGAAAACATTAATCGCAACAGGATGGTATCTTCGCACATGGGTTTGCACCTCCGCAATCCACATGAAGAGCAGACAAGAAGCAAACGCCAAACCCATTCCTGGCAACTCATTCGTTCAATCAATCAACCAAGCAATCGAACCAAACATATCAAACACATGAACACATAAACACATCAAACTCATCAATAATCCGACACCTTTCCTTCTCTTACTTCTTCTTCCTGCCCGAGTCTTTGCGAACAGCGGTACCGGCAGCCCATCGGAAAAACGGCGAGGGAGTAGGCTTCTTGCGCGAAGAGTGTCCCGAGCCGCCACTACCGCTAGGTACGACAATGACGGCGGGTGGCGAATGGTGACCGTCGCCGGGGTGGCCAGGAGGAGGTGGCGGTGGTGGAGGCATGGCACCTGCGGGAGGGGGAGGAGGAACTGTTATGACGTGGGCGTGAGATTCAGACTCACGTTTCCTGCTCTTGTCCTTCTTACCTTTGCCTCTGAGAGGGAGATTTTGCGACATGAACATTTGCGCATCCGGTGGTGGCGGAGGTGGCGGAGGGAAAACCTCGACTACTGGTTCAGGTGGTGGTGGTGGTGGCGGCGGCTCTGGCATGGGCCACATGTGCATGGTGATGGCCCAGTCAGGCTGGATCACGGTTTCCCAGATTTGAGGTAGAATGATCTCGCCATCCGGTCCCACAAGATCGTAGTGGCCTTGGTGCACATGAGGCCCAATGACATCTACGTGGAGGAAAGCCTGCTTGATAAGTTCTTCCATGCCCTGATCTAATGTAAGTAGCCACTCAACCCACGCAATGATTGATTACCTACCTTCCATGTCTTGCACAGTTCCCATGGGAAGCTGAACTTACGCCCAACAGCGTCCTTGAACTTGATTGGGAGTTTTGGTGCATCAGATGGCTTGAGAGCAGCAGCCTCGTCCTCGGCAGCTTTCTTAGCCTTCTCCAATTCCTCAGCAGCAGCCTTGGCATCGGCCAGGGCTTTCTCATGAGCCTTTTTGGTCTCTTCAGCTTCAGCAGCCTTTGCCTTTTCGAGTTCCTCCGCAGCGGCTTTGGCTTCAGCAAGGGCTTTCTCGTGGGCTTTCTTAGTCTCCTCGGCTTCGGCAGCCGCCTTCTTCTCGGCCTCCTCTCGCGCCTTTTCGGCCGCTTCCAGCATGATTTTGGCTTTTTCGGCCGCTTGCCTCTTCTCTTCTGCGATTCTGGCCGCTTCTGCATCTGCAGCGGCCTTTTCCGCGGCACGGGCGGCATCTGCAGCGGCCTCTCGTTTCAGTTGTTCATCCTTTTGAGCAAGAATGAGTTGCTCCAACTTGGCAAGCTTGTCCTCGTCGCCCCTCTTCTTCGCTTCTTCAGCTTCTTTTGCAGCTTTCTCGGCAGCCTCCTTCTTAGCTTTCTCCTTTTCTATCTTGGCCTCTTGTTGGGCAATGAGCAAGTTCTCAAGACGGGCAAACTTGGCCAGCTCCGCATCTCTCCTGGCTTGCTCAGCTGCCTTTTCCTCTTCGTCAGCTTTGTGAAGCAAGAGCTTCTCGAGTTTTATAAGCATGCCCTCTTCTTTAGGATCTGGTTGAGCGGGTTCCGGTGGTGGTGGAGCGGGCGGAGCAGGTGGAGGAGTAGCTATTATTTGCTGCTGCATTTGAAGCAACTGTTGCATTTGCTCCAGATGCTGTATGTGCTGTATCTGCTGCATTGGCGTCATTTGTTGCATTTGCTGTATGTGTTGCATTTGCTGCACTGGCGACAAGTGTTGCAAGGCTTGTTGCAAGGCTTGTTGCATTGGTTGCTGCAATGGCTGCTGCATCGGCGGCTGCATCGGCTGGTGCAACTGCAAATGCATCTGCGCTGGAGTCTGAGGTGGGGGTGCAGCAGGTTGAGGTGGAGGTTGAGGTGCAGGTGTAGGCGGAGTTGGGGCAGCACGACGCTCTTCGTCGTGCTGAGGCTTTGGTGTAGCTCGCTTTGAAGAGGCTTTCTGTGGAGGTGGATGTGGATGTGGAGGCGGAGGTGGAGATGGGTGTGCTGAGTGTGGTTGTGCGTGTTCAGGATGTCCGTAGGGATACATGTGCTGGGGCATGCCATGTGGCTGAGCACCGTAGGGTGGATAGTAGCCTGTCGGCGAGTAAGGCATCATTTCCCCAGGAGGTGCCGCCGGCATCGAGGAACGGTGGGCTTTGCGTGCCTGGTGAGGATCTTGGTAGCGAGGATCCTGATATTCGGGAAAGTAGCCGGCACGTGGATCTGCTGCCGGTGGGGGCGGCTGTGTGAAGGGGTTTTGTCCATTGGGTGCAAAGGGGTTCTGTGCATAGGCAGCATGGGAGTCATGGCCGAATGGAACTAATTGACCTGGGGGTGATTGCGTGCCTCCTGCGTAGCCGTACTGATATCGAGGGTCTGAAACCATGCTAGGTGCAAAGGCATTGGGCGCTGGCTGGGGTATATGACCCCAGCCAGCGCTTGGATGACCATGAGGCGGGGCTCCGTGAGCTGGGGCGCCATATGGGTAATCGTCGTCGTCCTCGACTTCAGGAGGCTCCTGATGATGGACGGATTGATGCCTTGGCCGTCGCGGCCTGCGTTGGCGATCCAGTTTGCTTCGGCTTCGACTTTGGCTTCGACTATGGCTCTCGTGGCGGGAGGGGGGATCAGGAACAGGAGCAGCGTGGCGCGAAGATGTTCGCTCCCGACGAGACGGCTTTTGTCGAGGTGGAGCTACAGAAGGAGGGTGTACAGCGTGGTGCACAATGGGATGGTGAGCAACAGCACGATGTGGTGCAGAGTGGTGCTTGACGGCACGAGGGCGGGATGCAGAGTCCGAGGGGTTAATCTCGTCGATGTAGTCCCACGAACCTTCGTCCTCTTCCTCTACGTCGTCTTCGTCTTCGTCGTCGTCTTCGTCGTCTTCCTCTTCGTCTTCCTCTTCTTCTTCTTCGTCGTCGACGTCCTCGGTTTCCTCACCAGTGCTGTACTCCTCTTCACTGGCGGAGACGACTTGGATCCCAGCCGAGTCCTCGTCAGTGAAGTCGTCGTCGTCGTCGTTGTCGTATGCGCCCGTGTGGTTGTTGACAATGATTCCCTTCCGTAGTCTGATCGCAACGTTAGTGTCGCCCTTGACATGATAGCGGCGCTTAGGGGGAGTAATCGAGACACTTGACGGGGCAGTGCTGCCCGTCGTACGCGACGATAACGACATAGCGCGCGACTTGGTCGAGCGTCGAGAGGGGGCACGAGGCATAGCGCGAGTATGGGGGAGATGGGCTATGACTAACGGCATGAGGTTGGCGGTGCTGGAGGAGAAGCCGTACTCGAGCCTGCTCCTGCTAGAGAATGGCCGAGTCCGGAGTCCTGAGGGCGCAGGGAAGGGGGCGAGCGATGGGTCAAGACGGGGCGGGTGAGCAGCAGTCGAGATGCGGAGGGCAAGACGGACGGGGGTGGGCGACGGGAGGGTGGAAAGTGGTGGTGGGGGTGTTTTTGCTGACCGCTTTCAGCGTGGGCGGGGCAGTGCGGCGCTGGGAAAGACAGCGATGCACTTTGTATACAGCAGACAAGCGGCAGACGACAGACGCTGCAGACGTCCAGGGGCGTCACTGCAGTGTTTCTGTGCGAAGCCGTTGTTCTTGTTGCTGTTGTCGTTGTTGATGCTGACACCCTCGTTGCTCACGCGCGAGAAAGGGAGGGGGGAAGGGGGGGGGGGGGAGAAGCGGCAGAATAAGGTCTGCGGTAGGAACCAGGGTATTCCGCTTGATGAATGCCTGACGGGGCCGTTGTGGTGGGCTCGGTAGGCGCTGATTCGCCGGCAGAAAGTCAAGGCAGAAGGGCTCGAAACACTGGGGCTGTCTGATGGAGGCTTGGATGGGCAGACAACAGGCGGGTTGGGTTGTAGTGTGGTAATGGTAGTGGTGTTGGTCGCACACAGGCTGGAGCAAGGCGGATCGTGTGACGCCGTCAAGGTCTGCGCCAGAGTCTCCAAATCAGATGACAATGAGAAATATCCAGCCGTGCTGTTTCGGACATAATAGTCTGGCCTCTTCACCTAATAGCAGACGGGGGACGGAAGAAGACCGTGCAGTGACAACAGCAGCAGTACCGTTGCTGGGACGCTCGAGCGAGTCTACTGCACATGCACCGCCCACTTGTGCTGCTATTTAATTGTTTTGGCCTCACCGGCGCGGCGTCGTCGTAGCACGGCTGGGGGAGTCGTGGAGTGGTTGGCTTTAGTCGCATACGTGGTACATGCTCATTGTCCACGTCCCTTACCGCCCACAGCCCAACCCGTATGCACGCCTACCAGACCCATGGCAAAGAGGCTCGACGGGAGCCGCCGTGGAGCCCAATCCCGACAAAGCCCGTCCTGACGTGCGTAGGTCACCGACAGCCGTGACACGTGTAGCTCTGCCTTGGGGTCGTCCATCCGCCAGGGTGCAGTGTCTTTGGGCACGGGTGCAGCCTCTGTTGCGCTGTTCGGCCATACTACACTCTGCAAGTATGCACCAACAGGTGGGGCATCGCTTTGCTTATTGCAACCAGCAACAGGTTTGCAACCGTGCCGAGCCAGCATGTCCGTCCGTGTGCTCTGTTCCCCATCGTGGCCGAGCCAGCACGAACCCCATCCACAGTCTAGAAGCTCCCTCCACGTCTTCGTCGTCGCCAACATAGGTAGACGACTGACTGGCACAATACACATCAGCCTCTGCCTGCCGCTCTCGCCTATCTTAGCCGCATGCCCAAGCGAACCCAGACCGCAGGCACAAATCCATTGCCCCGGATGACGCCATGTTGCCTGCTGCTCTTCAACTGCACCATTGATTGCCATAGCCAATCTACTATTAACCCGATCCTCAATCACACACAGGTACCTAGGCCAGCAGTATGCAAGGACCCTACGCCCATGCACGCACACACCCCCCCACCCCTCATACACATATACACGCACACTCACATACACGCACACTCACATACACACATACACACATACACACATACACACATATACATGCACCCCCTCAGCCCATGTCACGAGACAAGGAAATCTTATTGTTGGAAATACTTGGCACTGTACAAGATATAGAACACACACGCTGCCGCTACCCGCTCTTCCAACCCGCGCAAAATACAAACCCGCTTGACACCTATTGGTTCGTCTTGCCGGAGTTGTTGGGCTTGGGGATGTGGTCCAGGATGCTCTTGTTAGATGGTGGCTGGTAGAGGATCTTTCGGTTCTTGAGCGGTCCCCACTTGTACCTGTTGTGCTCGTTAGCATTGCTTCACCATGTGCCCATGTACCACTGCAAACGCACCTCTTGACCCAAACACTGAGAGAGAACAAGACGCTCGTCACAGCAAGCACCTTCCATCCCATCTTCTTGCGGTCATCCATCTCAGGCTCAGCGGCCCAGTTGAGGAACTCAACAACGTCCTTGGCCATCTGCGAGGTCGAGGCTTTTGTGCCATCCTCGTATTCAACCAAGTCGTCGTATAGCACACGAGCCATGGCAATGCCGGTACCGGGGAAGTAGGGGTTGAAGTTGAGGCCATCCTGCACAACAGCACCCGCAGGTGGCTCCTCGGGGTAGCCAGTCAACAAGCTGAAGATGTAGTTGCAACCGCCGTGGCGGGCCTTGACCATGAGCGATAGATCCGGGGGCAGTGCACCGTTGTTGGCAGCACGGGCAGCCTCATCGTTCTTGTAAGGTGCGGGCATGTAGTCAGAGAGCTTTCCGGGGCGCTTCTCGATCTCGCCCTGGTCGTTGGGCTCAGTGTCGTATTCGTTCTCCTCGGCAAGGGCCTTGGCCTCATCGACAGTCATGAACTTGCCAACGAGAGCTCGGTAAGGGACACGAGAGATGGAGTGGCAGGATGCGCAGACCTCACGGTAGACCTGGAATCCACGACGGAGGCTATTTGGTATGTTAGGACGAGTATGCGAGTATCATTCGGGGAAGACGTACGCAGCGTGATCGAACGTCTTGTACCACTTTTCGTGCTCCCATGGGTACTGGGTAGGGTGCAGACTATCAATTCCACAGTCAGCTTCTTTTTTTCCTTATTGTCCTTTGCATCTTCTCTTTGCTGTTGTTATTGCTGCCGCCGTAGGCGTGGACGTCATTCCATCCATGTCTCGGCTAGAGAGCAATTAGTGAGTTGGCACACTCACCCTTCTTCAGCGGGAGTCATGGCATCGACATCGCGTCCGTAGAGATGCCAGTACCAGGCAGTGGAGCCGACGGCGAAGATGGTGGCACCGGCGGGGAGGGCGTTGTTCTTCCATGCGGAGGCAGCTCCCTCGGCAGAGGCCGATGTCGAGGCAAAGCGCTGTGATCACCCAATCCGTCAGCCAGACATTCAATTGCAACAGAAGAAGGCCCAGGCCCGAGTATGATGCCAGAGATGGCGTTGATGAAGCTCGCGGGAGCCGTTTGCGGGAACTGGGCCGTGTGGGAGGCGTACCGAAGCTGGTCTGCTGGTGGCATTGCGGGTCGCGGCGCCGGCGGTGCGTGCCGTACGCAGTGCTGAGCGAGCCAACATGGTTATGTGAAGCCGGCTCGGAGCGAGAGGGGAAGTGGATCAATGGGGGTTGTCGGCGTTGGTGATAGTGGTGAAGGAGGGCTGTTTGGTCGCAACTTCTTCGCTCGAGGCTTGGCGAGACCTAATCAAGTCGACGGGCGCTGTGATTGGCCCGCGCCCGCGGCTTTCGGCGATGTATGATCTGTATATTGCGAGTGCGAGCAACACTTGGGCACCTTCACGACAGTCAATGGCCAGGCGTGCATTTCTTCCAATTGCGTCTTTGAGGCCAGTCGAGGGCACATGTTTGTCCGTGGTGCCGACAACCTCCTGGCTGAAATGCAGTATACGTCACATGACCTTATATGGAAAACGCCTAGCACGCGCAAGTTTGGCCAGCACAAGTACGTGTGAGTGAGAGAGCATGACATCAATTCATCAGTCAAATATGCAGCTTGGGGGCACGGGGACTGCGACACAAGAAAGAAGCAAAGCAACTGCACGCACTGCATCATCATCATCAGCGCAGCAGCTGCGTCTGGGAATGGGGGGCATGTCGTGGGTTCAATCATCTGATCTGCCAAAGACATTTTGCATGTAGCGCTACTTCTATACCCTTCCACTCATGGGGTGGTTGTAGAAGGGCTCAAACGAGGGCTAGTGTTTTCTCTAGCAAGGACTGGCAATGTTGCCAGAACACACAGCGTCTCTGCAGAGAGGGAGATGGCTGGGAGGACTTCCTTGCGATGTTTGAGAAGAGAAAAAAAAGAAAGCGGCGGCGGGATAGTAAGTATTTGTACTAGGCCACACACGCACACTGGCACAAACACTGGGGCAGCTTAGCGGCGTGTGCAGTCGCAAGCCCTCTCTGCCCTACCAAACCTCGCCTGGCCAATTGCAACGAGCGCCTTCTCACCGCAGCACGCCCTCATCGACTGTAGCGGTTGGGTCAGATGCGGCGCTTCAAGCAGAATGGCGCTTCTGCCCTGCAATGCGGGCGTGTGGTGCTATCGCGGCAGGCCATCACCGCCTCGCGCAGCCGGCTGAGCGCTCACCGCAGTCCACAGCTGCACACGCTCTCGAGCCCCACGACAAGCTCTCGATACTACCCCGCTGCCCGCGCCCAGCTACAGCTACCACTACGGCTACAACACGCGCCCTCTCGCACATCGCCCCCTCCCCCTTCCCGCCTCTCTCTTGCTCCCCCCGTCCGTTATTGCTCGCACCGAAGAAACATGTGCAGACACTTTGGAGTCGACGACCACTCCGCCATGGACGTCTCCAAGGGTCGCGAGGTGCTGCCCACCAATGTCAAGCCTGTGCACTACGACTTGACCTTGGAGCCAGACTTTGATAAGTTCACCTACACCGGTACAGTGACAATTGAGTATGCACTACCTCTAATTGCAACCCATGCGCCCGCCCGCTGACACGCCACACAGTCTGGACGTCGTCGACGACACCACATCCGTAACCCTCAACACCAACGAACTCAAGATCCACTCCACCAAGATCACAGCCGGCCAGCAGGTCATCTCAGAGGCACCCAATGTCAGCACCGATGACGAGGCACAAACAACAAAGGTCAGCTTCGACCAAACCATCCCCCGCGGTGGCAAGGCCCAGCTCACCATGACCTTCTCGGGCATCCTCAATGACAACATGGCTGGCTTCTACCGTTCCTCGTTC